ACCCACCCTGATTTGTGTTTATGAAAATGCCTAACACATTACTGTAACCAGTCGGAACTGCTACTCCTGTTTTGTAAGTTTGCTGGCAGTACTCGCTGCTGAGAAGGCTGAGTGACCTGAAGTGGACCCCCACTGCAGGGAAGAGTGGAAATGCTTGCTGTGGCAATGCAATCCGGCAATGCAATCCGTCAGCACTGCATTTGCACACAAAGCTTAATGGACCACTGGGACTGGGTCCTGAGCTAACCAGTTAGAAACGCACACATTTCAGTCCCTCATTAGCACGAATGGATCTAACGGAGGACCTGCACTGGCACTATTCCTCTGAAAGTCCCAGGCTTTTAAACAGTTGGAGACGCAGCTCTGAGATCTGACCTCCAACACCTGAGCTATAACCCTCCCGCCTTCCTCCTGGCTAGCCATGCAATAAAAGTCTTTCTCCGAGGATTGGGTGGATGTGAATGGCATTTGTGGTTATCAGGCAACGGATCCCCTTTGAGTGGAAACACTACCATGTGGTTTTAAGAGAGTTTATTCTTAACCGCTAAGGCTGGGTAAAACTTTTCTAGAATAGACAAGTTCAATAGATAGTTGAAATAAACTGTGTTTCGGCATCAGTTAAGCTGAACATGTGCTTAACCACAAAACAGAGAAGTAGAAATTCTGGAGTAGGGCAGAGAACATTGGCCAATAGGAAATAATGGCTGGAGTAGGCAGAGCTCAACACGAAGCCCGAAGGAACATAGTTTAAGTCATAAAGATGATATAACTTCCCTACCTGGCCTGGCCTGGCCTGGCCTGGCCGCGGCTAATGGGATCCCCGCCCCCATCTAGAACAGGAAAGTTATCACATTATAACATGATGGAAGGCGAGTGGGCAGAAGTACCAGAGGGAAACTTTCCCATTTACAAAGTATGCAGAGACAAAGTAAATTTAAAAAAGACCATAAGCACTTGAGAGATACTTTCAGGTGAAGAAAATTTACAGTTAAATGGATCTGATTATAGTGTTTTAGCTATTAATGCAATTTACCAGACAAATAAAAGGTATGTTGCATTATAAATCAGACAAAATGTTTTTCTTTGATACCAGACGAAAACAAAATAAAAATTTAAATCAATATAAAATGTTAAAAAAAGGAGATATTTAATTTAAAAATGTAGATAATGCTTCCTTTAAAAAAACTGTCAAAAAGCATATTTTTAACTTATTTGAGGGCTGGCAGGAGGTGTGGTGGTTAAGGGCCTTGGACTCCCGGGAACCAGCAGTTAGTGTAATGGCTATGTCGCTGGATTCCCACGTAGTCGACCGCGGTTCGCGTCCCAGACCTGGTGGCTTAGAACTCACACCGAGCGCGTGTGTGTGTGTGTGCCCAAGATCCCGAGAGGAGAATGGAGGAGAAGGGATTGCGGCATGGCCATCCCCCCTGGGGGCTGATTTCTCGCTTTCTGTCTCTATGTCTGTCTGGCGAGTGCACGCGCCCTATAGCAAAAACCTCTAAAAAAAAAAAGAACCTTGGACTCCCAGATGGTTGACTGCAGTCTGAGTCCTGGGCCTGGTGGCTTGCTTTCTCTCTTCCCCTCTCTCTTTCTCTCTCACTGTGTCCCTCTCTCATCAAATTAAAATAAATAAATAAATAAATTTATATAAAATAATTCTTTTTTTTTTAAAAAGCCACTTATTTGAGCTGTTATTCTAAGAGTGAGGACGGTGCCTGTCCACCCAGCAACCCCTAAATCCAGCCCCAGGTCTCTGAAGCACCTCCTGGCCCCGCCTCACTCCGAGTACTAACCGAGCACATAAACAGCCTCAGAAGCTCCGCGGGACAGGGAAGAATTACAACGCTGGTTCTCGTACTAAGAAAGCTTGCAATCTTGTTGAGCAGATAGGAGCAACATCCACAGTAGCTAAGGAACAATGCTGAGACGGGGTCCAGTTAACTGTCATATCGAGTGGCATTGGAAAGATCTTACAGGATTGCAAAGCGTGGCATCAGCCACAGGAAGAGGCCTGGGGAAAGCTAGCAGCCACTGTAATGTTCACAGCCCAGCCCTGCCCCAGCACTCCGGTAAGTCCACGCTGGCCGGGCGGCCAAGGACTCCCCAGGGCTGCACGCTGTGGGCCTTCCCAGTCTGTGGTCCTCTGCACTCCTGACAGCTCAGTGCTCCAGGCTACAGCACAGCTCTTCCCAGGCTCTGCCTGCCATGGCGCCTCTCTCCTCCTCTACTCCAGTAATTCCGAATACTCTAGTCCTGGCATAGGAGCACGTACATATCCCCTCCTTCCGATCGAGCTGCTTCTCACCTCCAGCCCTTGTTCATGCTGTGCCTTCTGGCGGGAACGCGGATCCCTCCTTTGGCTCACCAGTGCATTTCTCTATTCATGGCTGGCCCAGAGGGGAACTCGGGATCTTTCCTTAAACTGTCAAGCCACCTGTCCACATCCGAACTACAGCATCAGGTATGCTGGTCTGCATGAATTATGTGGTCTTCCCGACTACCTGATAAACTCCTTGAGGACAGGGGAAGGGTCCCTTAAACAACTAACAAATGTTAACTCTTTCCTTCAGGACAGCTAACCCAGTGTTATGAATTTAACTAATAAATTAAAATAGGTTAGACTAAATACCAACATGAATGAACTTCACTACTTCTGCATTTTTACACATGTATCCATAGTTTCTAACATCGTGAATGGAAATACTAAAGGTGGTGACCAGCAGAGGCATACTGGTTACATCACAGGACTCCCATGTAGTCGACTACAGTTCAAGTCACAGACCCAATGCCTTAAACTCACGCCAGGTGCATGTGCGTGTGTGCCCAAAATCCCAAGAGGAGACTGGAGAAGGGACTGTGGCATTGCTATTTCCCCTGGAGGGTGATTTCTGGCTTTTTGTCTCTCTGTTGCTCTAGTAAGTGCATGTGGTCTACAGTAAAAATCTCTCCTAAAAAAAATGTGGGGAGCAGCAGATGGTGTAACGGTTATGTTGCTGGATTCACATGGAGTTGACCACAGTTCAAGTCCTAGACCCAGCTGCTTGAAATTCATGCTGGGCGCATGTGCATGTGTGCCCCAAATCCCGAGAGGAGACTGGAGGAGAAGGGATGGCGGCATGGCCATCCCCCTAGGGGGGGATTTAACACTTTCTGTCTCTCTGTCTCTCTGTGTCTCTCCAGCAAGCACACGCAGCCTATAGCAAAAACCTCTCATAAAAATATATGTAAAGGATTCAGCTACCAAAAATCTGCCATGTTTTTATGAAATTAAAAGGGTGGACCTTGGGGCCAGCAGATGGTGTGAGGATTGCATTTGGACTCCCACATAGCCAACTACAGTTCTAGTCTCAGACCTGGTGGCTTGAAACTCACGCTGGGCATATGTGCATATGTGCCCAGGATCCTGAGAAGAGAATGGAGAAGAGATTGCAGTGTGGCCATTGCCCTGGGGGATGATTACTTGCTTTCTGTCTCTCTGGCGAGTACACATGTCCCTATAGCAAAAATCACTTAAAAAAAAAAAAAAAAAAGGGGGACCTTAGCATACAGATGGGAATACTCATTTTGTATGCTGCAACGATATACAGTGAATGAATGTAAAATAAGTAAATTTAAAAAAATTAAAAATTAAAATATATATATATGATGATGTATCAATGTTAAGAACAAACTTAACTGTTTAAGGTTACAGAAAATCAAAGTACATCTCAATAGCTGTTTGATTCGGAAAGCTTTTTGAAAATAATAACCCCAAAGCACTTTTTTCCTAACAGAAGTTTCTCATTCTTTTTGGTTTTTTACTACTTACATTTTTTAAGAAAACACACAACTTGAAAAAGGACATTAGTACTGAATATCCTAAAATCTAGTATCCTTCAAATTTACCCAAATATCTTTTTCTGTTTTCCAGATGCTTCCTCTTAGGATTTCCATGTTCTTTTATGATTAGTTCTGGCTCAGAAAAAAAAAAAAAAGAAACTTGCATTTTGTCTGTCAAAACCCAAACTACGTGACCTTCGGGGCACAGCATAAACCCCGCGACTTTGGGATGAGATGTGGTGCTCCTGCCACTTACTTATTCTAAGTAATCTGGGGGAATTAAAGAGTATGATCTGAAATTTGTTAGATGGATAGTGTTACCAGAGGCGTAACAAGAGCATCTGGCACAACGGGTCGTCGATGAGCCAATAAGAGAGACCCATGCTCATTCACGACGCCGACAGTGGGTGTTCCGCCACGTCCTGCTCAGAGCGTCCAACCCCTAACTCAACCGCGTCACTTCGCACCGTCTTTCCTCATCGTATGCTGGCTTACAAATTTTGTTTTGGGCACTGTGATGATTTCTCTGAGAAAGAAAACAAAATTGGAGTTACTTGGAAATTTAAAACATGTTCTGGTATTTTCTTCAGAATGAGGATTATCAGACTCGTTAACAGCAGAAGTAGACAGGCACTGGCTTTGTGGCCTGGGCCAGCACCCTAAGATGGGACACACCTCCGGCTAGCCACGGCGCTGAGAAACGGGCCTTGCTAGAAAACAAAGAGGGAGAGGTTCGAATACCTTCGGATGTGATATTTGTTTTTTTATTGGCAAAGTGCTGTCGCTACAAAAACAACTCCCGTCTCCCAGTCAGTATTCTTGAATGCTCCCTACCTGTCAGAAGATGGAGCTCTAAACATATCTGAGTGCTGGCTTTTAGACGTGCATTTCACAACGGTGTGTAACGAGGAGATTAAAGCAGGAGGAACGTCTTTAGAAAAATGGTTCTGAAGGATATTTCAGTTCTCCTAGAATAAAAGTGCACGCATCTCCCAGCATCTACGCGGTGAACTAACAAGAGAGACGCTTAGCGTGTTCCTTTGAAAAGTCAGTGTATTACCTGCCAGGAAAACTTAGGTATGTATAAATCACATGAGAAAGTAGAAAGCATGCTGAAAGGCAACACACTTTACACTACCCAGACCCCCGAGCCGGAGGGAGGCGAGGTCCTTCCCACTTACGGGCATCCCGGATGTAGAGCAACATGGCTATGAAGATGTAGTCCACCAAGCTCAGGCTGAGGCCATCGGCGAACAAGGCATCCCAGACCACCAGGAGATCCTGCAAGGGGAACTCCCGTCCGAACAGCAGTCGCACCCACCGCCTGCAGAGGAGCAAAACGGAAATTCAGAACACAGAAACATGAACAGTGCTGATTTTCTGGGGCTGGCAGGGGGCATGGAGGTTGAGGGTGCTGGACTCCCACGTGGCCGACTGTGGTTTGAGTCCTGGACCTGGTGGCTTGCTTTGTCACTTTCCTCTCTTTCTTTTACTCTGTCCCTCTCTGTTCAAATTAAAATAAATAAATAAAGTTAAATTAAAACATTTTTTTCTTAAAATAAAAAGGAGTGCTCATTTTCTCATGTAACTGTTAAAAAAGACAGTGCATTAAATGAGTACAATGAGTAAATTTTTTACACCTAAAATATAATCCAGTAAAATTTAAATTTTGAGCAAATATTATATGTCAAAAATATAATGCAGTAAAACATAGGTTTTAGGTTTGCAAATGAATTTGATAATTTTATATCTGAGCCAGAATCACTAAACTGTATTCCTGTATGCATAAGGCACAGATACTGTACTTGAAAAGGGTTTGTAAAGGGACCAGCAGTTAGCGTAATGGCTATGTCGCTGGACTCCCATATAGTTGACCGCGGTTCGCATCCCGGACCCGGTGGCTTAAAACTCACGCCGGGCGCGTGTGCATACGTGCCCGAGATCCCAAGAGGAGAATGGAGGAGAAGGGACTGCGGCATGGCCATACCCCCTGGGGGGTGATTTCTTCCTTTCTGTCTCTCTCTGTCTGTCTGGTGAGCACACGTGCCCTATAGCGAAAACCTCCCCCCCCAAAAAAAAAGGGGTTGTAAAAACTTTCATATTTAATGAAAAGCACAAATCCTAAAAAGTAAAAAAAAAAAAAAAGTCTGATAATTGCCTCATATGTAAGGTTATGAGTTAAAAATATGATTTTTCAAAATGTCATGATCTCTATTGATTTTCTTGTTGTTAACTGGCCTTTTACAAATGTTTGCATGGCCGTGATTGCAGTTAAACTTAGAACACTGTATTCTCACATCTCACTTTTCTTAAAAATACTCATTTTAAAGCGATTTGTGAGAGATGACAGTAGAGACCTGCTTAAGTCTTTGGGCACAGCCAGCTCTTTTAAATGACACACACGGCGGTACCTTTTAACTTTAGAAGAGAGATGTCTGGTCTGTGAGGCTATCATGTTCTAAGAATTATTTAACTTTATTGATTCATTTATTTTAAAAATTCGACCAGAGAGAGACAGAGTGAGAGTGAAGGTAAGACAGAGAGAGAAAGCAAGCTGCCAGGTCCGGGTCTTGAACCGTGGTGGGCCATGTGGGAGTCCAGCGCCCTGAACCAGCATACCACCTGCTGGTTTTAAGGGGTGCTTTTCCCATCAACTTCTATGACCAGAAAAATGATTATGCCACAGAGCAGACGTACACAGCTCCTAGAAACGCTGGGTGACTTGTCCTATCATTGAAGATGCTCTCAACTTTCATTAATGCTAACAATGCTATTCATATCCAATTCTTAGAGGAAAATAAAAAGAATTCAGTTTGATATGCTTTTATCCATTTACTTCTATTTTCATAGGACACATTTTCTGACATGATTTCCTTACGTAAGTCTGTTTCTAGGAACTTCAGTTACAATTTTACGTGATTCTGGCACACAGCAAAGAATGAAAATTCTAACCCTCTAGTACTGTCAGATAATACAAAAGAAGAAGTTCTTTTAAATGAGTTAAGAGATTTACTTCTTTGTAAATATTAAAACCAAATATAACCATCTGTGGGGTTAAAGTGAGGCAAAAAGAAAAAAATTCCAATACTTTCCTCAGGGAGTATTATATTTAAGGAGGAATCAAAGCTCTGACAAAATAGTGTATAATCACACACATGTATCACAGTTTATTAGGAGCCATGTGATCGAATACTTATGTTCTTCTACTCATATTATAAAATTAATCAGCAGAATAATTAGATTGTATTTTCAACTACATCAGGGAAAAAATTTAAATGCCTAGGTAATGTGTCTTTTCAAAACTACAGTCTCTTTTACGATTGAATCTACCTTTCGATTCTTACTCTGTTGCTAAAATGAAGGGAGACAAACAAAATATATATATTTTGTGTGTAATATACCTGTGTTTACCTGGTTTAGGAAAAAAAATGACTTCTCTACATGCTTCTAATTCTTTCAAATAACAAGTGCTAATATTTACTGTTCTGAGAAGAACAAAAATATCTCTAAATTAAAGAGGCTGCTCTCCTTAATTACAAAGAATTAACTGATCTTCGAAAGAGTGGCAGAGAAACAAGAGGTGGCCAAGACAAAAAGTACGTGGATTAAACCACTTTGGGCACCTGTTCCAAAGATTTTTAACGGGTGCATTTTTAACTGATGCATTCTTCAATGACTAAAGCAGTTAGAACATGGTTACTCACAGGTATTCACTGGGCACAAGTGGAAGAAAAACCCACCGATGAATACAACAGATGGAGGCTAGTGTACACTCATGAAAGAAATACCGTGCTATTACTCCCGCCACACAGCTCAGACCCCCGCCATTCCCTAACAAGCAATCAGATCTTCAGTTCCATCACAGAGAATGCTTCGAGAGAAAAAAAGAAAAGAAGTGAAGTTGCCTAATTTTTGGAAAGAAGTCATATACCTATCATTTCTACGACAAAACGCCCAGTGACGGCTCCAACTTCTCTTGTAGCCTTTCTGACGAGTAGGACAGGAGGTGCTAGCTTAGCTGCCCCAAGGACCCACAGACACACACAGAGATCCCCTCAGGAGCAAACGTCTCGTAATCTACGCCGAATAAAATATACCTTTTATTTTTCTGTGTCAGCTTGTTCACATATTTAATATCTTCAAAACTACACAGCATGCAAGTCTTTGATACTTTGATATCGAATGTGTAATCTATGATGTGCTGCATTATAAATGTTTCACACTGCTTCACTCAGTTTTACCTTGCCAAGTATTCTGCTAAACAGTTTCAGAGCAAGGACCAAATTCTAGGTCTGTGTGTGTGTACGAGACAGAGAGAGAGAGAGAGAGCGCGCGCACGCACTTGAGATCCAGAAAGTTCTCTGTAAAGATGACTAGGCGTGGGGTGACGTGCTCCACGTGGTCACTAGGGTCTTACTGAGCACACTGTGAAGCCACTCGTCATGCTAAAGAAAAGCAAAGGGGTGGGTAAAGAGGAAGTAAAGACATTGATCTTGTCGGTCAGGAACAAAAACAATTGTAGGAGTGGGGCAAAAACCCTGGAAACACAAAAATGCTTATTAAATGTCTATCATGTTTCCTGTAAACGATACTGTTAAAAGCTGCATATGCAGGGCCAGCAGGTGGTGGGATGCTTAATGTATTGGACTCCCACGTGACTGACCGCGGTTCGTGTCCTGGACCCAGTGGCTTGAAAATTACACCAGGTGGGACCAGCAGAGGCCTTAATGGTTATGTCGCTGGACTCCCACATAGTCAAGCCCAGTTTGAGTCCAGGATCCGGCAGGCTAAATTCATGCCGGGCACGTATGCATGCATGCCCAAAATTCTGAGAGGAGAATGGGCATGCACCCCTAGGGGGTGATTTCTCGCTTTCTATCTCTCCAGCAAATACACGCTATAGCAAAAATCTCTGACAGAAAAAAAGAAAAAGAAAAAAGAGAAAATCACACTGAGAGCAGGTCCAAAATCCTGCGAGGAGAATGGAGAAGGGACGGCAGCACGGCCATCCCCACTGGGGAGGCTGGGGTGATTTCCTACTTTCCCCTCTCTTGTCTCTCTGGTGAACACATGTGCCCTACAGCAAAAACCTTAAAAAAAAAATAGTTGTATGTGCAAGACATTACAGTATAGTCTCCCCAGTTTTATATACAATTCTAGAAAAGTAAGACCAAATACTCAAAATACTTAAGAATCATAAGACTAATGGAATGGCTTAGGATGACAATGGCCTTATCAACAATTTCATCATCATCCTGAATCTTCAAAATACAAAAAATTCCTGTGCTATTTCTCCATTGTGATTAAAAGCCAATGGAGTGAGTTACTACGAGATACTGTTTCATGGAGCGGCAGGTGGTGTGATGGTTAAGGGCGCTGGACTCCCACATGGCCGACTGCGGTTCGAGTCCTGGACCTGGCGGCTTGCTTTCTCACTTGTCCTCTATGTCTCTGTTCCTCTCTGGTCAAATTAAAAGTAAATAAAAAAATAAAGTAAATAAAGAAAAATAGATAACTTTTTTTTTAAAGAGAGATGATTTCAGTTGGCTTTTGTGTTCTTAGAAAGGAAAACTTACTCTAAGAAATGAGGTCTTATAAAAAAAGTCACTCTTACAATTAACATGCTTTTATTGCAGTTAAAAATATTTAGCGAGGGTTTAAGTTACACTCAAGGATAGCATTAAACCTTTCTTTTCTCCTTAAAGATAGCTTCAGCTGAATTGCTTGATGCTGTTATTCTTGCTTTATGCCTGTGACACCTGCACACTGCGACACTCAGACCCATGTACATTTCTTCACTTATGATAACGTAATAATTCCCATTTTCCAGACCTACTTAGTAATTAAAATCTGCATAAACAAAAAAAGACTATCTGAGGTATTAAATTCAGTAATAAAGCACCCAAAGATAAATAGTGAGACACCAAAGACAGTTTCTATATTTGCCTTTGCCATTACTCTTGATTTTAAATTTCTGAGTAATTAAGCTGCTATTCTCAGGAGACCAGGACCTACTGATGATGTTATTGCTCGGTAAGCGGCCCATGGAAACACAAAGGGACGTCATTTTTGCAAATCATTTTAGGAAAGGGTCCAGTTTACTTGAGAGCTAAATAAACATAGTCTTAATCCAGCGTGGTAGTAGTGGTTTATACACGGAGAAAGAAATTGAAATTCTAAATCTCCATTTGCTCCTTCTGTTCCTTTACCGATCCTGCAGTCAGATTTGGGTATAGCAACCTTACACAAATAAGTCATGGAGAAAAGCTAGATTTAATTTAACAAACAATGCAAGGACATCTCAAATAACCTGTGATCATGAAA